AAAAAATGCTAAAATGAAGTCTGCATTAAATTACATAGATGTGAATATAAACTATATGTTACTAGAAATATTTGGGGAAGATAGATGATAGATAGATAGATAGATAGATAGATAGATAGATAGATAGGTAGATAGACAGACAATATTTTACTTTGTTTTTGAGATAGTGTCTCTCTGTGCAATTCAGGCTGGGCTTGAGCTCATTTTGTAGCCCATGCTAGGCTCTAACTCACAGTCATCCTCCTGTTTCAGCCTCCTGAGTGCTGGGATTACAGCATGCCTAGCTAAAAAAATCATTTTTTTCTCTGTATTTTTTTAAAAGTTAGCTCAAGGACTAATTACCAGATTTTACTGGGAGTTTATGTGCAGTATATGAAAACAGACCGCTAAAGGTGAAAATAGATGAAACTACACTACTGCAGAGTTTTAGGGGCTCTGAACAGGAAATGGTTAAGATTGTACATTTTAATCACTAAGTCATGAATTACAAAATACAAAGGGGCATGGCTAAAAATATGATAGGAATAAATAAAGTTTTGAAAATTAACACAAAGAATACAGAAAAAAGTCAAGAATTTTATGGAAAGGAAATGTAGCAAAAACCTAAATATGTAGGGGCTGGGGATATAGCTCAGTAGTACAGCACTTGGCCGGCAAGCACAAGGTCCCAAATTCAATTCTTGGCAACAAAAATGAGTAAATAAATACCAAACATAACATTAATTACATTATGTAGGTATGACCAGTGGTGAAGAATCTATGGCACCCATGCTACAGTGACCTGTTTGTGTCATTTAAAGCTCTAAAATATTTGCCATCACTGGTAAAAATGAAAAATACAGTTTAAAAAGTGATAGGCTAAAAAGAGCCCTGTGTCCATTTTAAATTTATTAGAGATCTGCTTTTCTACAAAAGATAATGATAGGTTCAAAGTAAGACGTTGAGAAGGATATACAGAATTAGCATAAAAAAACTTCTAGCTCTATTACTAAGACAGAAAGCAGATTTTGGGAGCAAAAGTAAGTCTGAGAATAGAGATCTTCATCATTATTGAAATGTCTAGTTAAGCAGAGAAACGCCGCATCACTATCTCCCCAAAGCCAGCTGTGCTTTTGCTTAGCTATGAGCAGTGGAGACCAGTGGAAAGGTGATTTCCCTAAACTGGCTTTCAACTTTAGTTGAGGAGTCTGGCCAGCCTGCGGATTTGTCTTCAGGGAAGCAAGCAGACGGTGTATGTGCTACCATTGCCCCCCAACCAATGGTCACAGGTGAGCCCCGAGAAGTGGGCCGTGATCCTGTAGGGCTAAGACATGAGATGACGTCTCTGCTGAGGCCTGTGTGACTCCAGAGAAAATTCTTTCCCAGAATTAGCTACAGGTTGCTCTTTAGCCACTACCTGACCCTGGCTGTTCAGCTCCTTGCACAAGAATGCTTTGTTTCCTCTGTTACAAAGTGCCTACCGAAGCACTTCTCTAGCACACCCAGCTGCAATCTCAACGTTTTCCTCAATGTAAATGTGGCCAATAAATACTGAGGTTCTGGAGGACTGTAGCCTTCTGTTCTCTGTGAACACTGGTCATCCCAGGTCCCTGTGCATTGCTGTTTGTCTATTCTTTGTTTTAGCTGTGTGTCATAACACCCTGTAGGGAATTGGAGAGTCACTGCTCAGGTTCCTGAAAATGTTATATGATATAGAAATCTACAGATATGAGTTCGTGACACAGGAAAAAAGGAACTCTTCTCCACTGTTTGTGGGAGCACAGACTGGTGCAAGCACTGTGAAAAATGTGAAGTTTCCTTAAGAAACTGGACCTAGCGCTTCTATTTGACCCAGCCATTCTCCTGATTGGTATCTTCCCTGAAGAACTCAAAGCATCATATTCCAGCGATATATGCATGCTCATGTTTATAGCAGCACAGTTCGTAATAGTTAAATCTTGGAAATGACACGAATGCTCATCAACTGAGAATGGACAAGGAAGATGTGGTTTTCTACCACTCGGAGTAGGGGAGTACTACTCAGCCATAAAGAAATAGTACAAAATGAAAGGGAGGACTCCATACTTGTAAATTGGACAAATCTATTTTTATAGCAGTTAGTCTGCTCAGGCCCAACTTCAAATGCAGGCGCTGACTCATCAAGAGGTCCCAGCTCAGTTTTGGACTAAACCTCAACAAATTTTAAGAGTTTGATATTTTACCCAATATTTTATCAGAACATGAGTTAGTCATATGGGACTCAACGAAAACATGACACTAAAGTGTCAAATATGTAAATTAATGAAGAAAAATTCACAAAAGGAATTCAAAATTATTTTAAATAAATGCTAATGAATATAAGCACATAAAGTATTTGTGAATGCATAGGAAGCAACCAAAATTAATTCGAAGGAAATTTATACTTAAGTCCTTATGTTAAAAGAGAGATTTAAAGGTGATAACTTTCCATATTGCTATATAACAGATTTAAACATAGAAAAGATTGTAGGAATAATATAAGTTTAAAAGCAAAAATCAATACAGAAAAAATATTTTAAAAGATTAAGAAAATTGATAAACCACAAACATAAGGTATCAGAAAAAAAGAAAAAACAAAAGTAAATTTTTAGAAATTAAGGAAATATTAGTATAGATATTCTACACTCTAAGAATGATGAAGCAATTCTTTTTTAAAAGTTATGACAGTTTTGACTTCTTAGGTGAAATAATTACTTTTAAAAATACGATATAACAAACTTGTCTCATGAAAAAATATATAACTTATATAGTCATATATATATAATTCTAATTAAATTCATTGTCAAATATATTTATACAAAGCAAGCAAGGGGTTCAGATAATTTCACAAGGAAATTACATTTTAAAATTCCATGAAACATTTTAAAAATAATTAATTTCAATTTTATCCAAGTTACTTTATAAATCAGAGGAAGAGAAAGCATCTCCCAAGCTTATTTTTTGGGATAACAAACAAAAAACATTACAAGAATGCTAGATTACAGGCCAATATCTCTTTGTGGAGTGTGGCAATCCTTCATCAAATTAAATCATCAACATATAAAAATGGTAATATTCATAATTATGTGGAGCTGAATTGACAATTGCAAAGCTAGCTTAATATTTTATAAATCAATTAATGTAACTGACCACATTAAGAAAGGAGAAAATACTTGTATTTATTTCAGCAGAGCAGAAATACATCGTCAAAATGCAAAAAATCTTTATAGTAGAAACTCTCAGTAATCTAGGAACAGTAGAGAAGTTGCTAAATCTGATAAAGAGAATCTGCAATAAATCTACAACTTTACCAAGATACAAGCTCTCTACTGCAAGCATAATGTTATGAATAATTATGGAAGATATAGATCTATAGACAAATATACTGTTTATTGATTGAATGATTCACAATTTTGATGCCATTAATTCTCTCCATCTTAGTGCACAGATTTCAAATAACAATCCCAAATTTTTTCAGTAATATGGAAATGAAAAAACCTACTACAGACAGCGCCATGTTCACAATGAAATGCGATGCTAGTCCAGTTATACTACTTATCTCTAAGCATGATAAAGCTAACGTAACCAAGATCATATTGAATTAGTAGATGAACAGAGAGAAGGAATTGAGGTTGCTGAAACTGATCCCTGTAACATGAGCACATTACATGATGAAACAATAAATGATTAAAAATCATTTAAATCTCCATCAGTATTGCATACCATACACAAAGATCTACTTGAATATTTTTCCTGAAACTGAAAATGAGAAAGTTTGCAAATAAAGAATATCTTGACTTTAATAGAACCTTCATGAGCAAAGATAACAGCACTGGCCAGCCAGTACTAAGAAGGGCCATGCCATAGTGCGGTGCCACCCCCTGACCATTAGATTGGGTCGTATACAGAATCATCATCGATCTCATGTGTTGGTGATGACAGAAACAGCTAAAACACACTTAAAAATCAGACCTTTTTGGTGAACATGTAAACTATTATTACTAACATGATAAAATTTCAGTAGTTTCTTGTTGAGTTAAATATTTACATAAATTCTGAGACAATGATTTCCATCCCTAGCTATTTGTACAAGGTAAATTTAAAAATAATCAGTAAATAAGCTAGTATAAGAATATTTGGCACAGCAAACCAAAACCTGGAAAGAACCCAAATGTCCACTGATGGGAGAAAGGAGTAAATTTTATATAGTCACACAGAATATTCCTCATAATTTTAAGTAGAATTACTTAATGATGTATGTGTCATGAATAAATATTAAAGCACTATAAACAAAAGTATGAGGACATAAACTAGAATGAACCACATAAGTTCATTTCTATGAAGCTCATTGAAAGGCAAAACTAATTCACATTCTTAAATCAGAACAAAGTTTTCTGGGACTGGGGATTGACTGGAATAACTCACAATGGAATTTTCTGGAGTAATGGAAATGTTTTTTCTATTACGTTCTTAAAGATTTGAATCATTTTGATTATGAAAAGTTCCAGATCTCCTGATAGAATTTGAGGTTCAACATCTGAGAAAAGCTATGCAAATTATTTTTCTCCGCATCTTTTGCATATGAAAAAGCAAAAATAACACTTTATGGCAGAAAAGCTACTTTACCCCTTTGGGTCTGAAGAAACCATCAATACACGTCTCACAGTTGATGCCGGCAGTGTTCTGCGTGCAGTTAATGCAGACCCCGCCTCCGATGTACTTCCCGTGTATGTTTAAGCTCAGGTTCCTTCTGGCAACATTTTCATCGTAGTAGCATTCTTCCGCTTTTCCATGGCAATTGCATGCTATAGTAGGATAAAAATAAATCAGCGAACATTAATTCCAGGTTTGTGATATGCTTAAAAATTATTTCGTTATACATTTAGCATGCCTACAAACAAATATATTTAGAAAGCATTTGGATTTATGGGATTAGTTAATTCATTCATACTTGCAAAGAAATTTGAGATAATTAAACATAATTTAAAATTGAAATTGCCAGTGTTTTGCTGATTTTTTTTACATATATAAGTGCTACTTGGTATGGCTCAGCACACAATGTTGTGTTGTGACAGATAATAAATTATTGAACAATAACACTGAATGCCTGATGACCAGACAGTCTGTAGGAACAATTACCATACTGAATCTCTGCGCTGGTGTCTATAGGTAAAAATGGACACAAGGGGTATCTTCCTTCTCTCCTAACTGAACTATAGCAACTGAAATTTACATGTTTAACATGCTAGATGCTCTTCAAGTTGTTTTTTGAGCTTATGATTGATTATAATTAAAATAAACCACTTTCCTTATTTTCGGAATCTGAGCCAAACAGCAAAGTAGTAACGCAGCAGCGATAACCTTGCCAGGGTTGGAAATCATGCGGCACAGTTCGTGTCCAGCATCTGCTTTCCTAACCTTCCCTTCTACTCAGTGAGTGAGATGCAGGTCAGGTGCCAAGAGGAAGGAGGGCACCGCTCTGAGTTAGTTGTTGCTCTCCTCTGATTAGCAGTGTGTGTTGTTAAGCTGTTTCCTGTTTCCAGCTGTGTGACGCTGAAAATTTCAGCATTAAAGATATTTTGGTATTCATCCTTATAATTACTTTGCAAAGACAAAATACTTAGAATGGTATCTGAGCAAAGGAAATATCTCAGTGAATAATAGTAGTATCGACTGAAAAACAATGATAAAGGTGATAATACCACTTTTATAGCTACGTGATTATTGGTATAGGTGAAAACTAGGGGCGTAGAACTTACGGCGAGTTACTATATAAAATTAAATTTTTAATTTTTATGAAACTTTCATTTATTTGCTACAGGGTCTTGTTGCACAGCTCAGACTTGTAGTGATACTCCTGTCTCAGCCCCCACAACCCTGGGACTACAGGCATGCACCACCACACCCAGTTTTGGTGGCCGGCATGGCGTGCGATACTGGGATCAAACCCAGGTCCTTGCGCTCGTCAGGCCAGTGATAGACTGCTGAGCTATCTCCCCTGCCCTAAAATTATATTTTAACAGCTTGAAATTTTTCCATCCATATTGTTTTGTATCAATATTTCTGTTTTTTTTTTTTTTTATTTTAGGGAATGATCTAAGGGTGTTCAGGGTCTCACTACTAGGTCAGACTTGTAGTGATCCTCCCTCCTGTTTATAGCCTTCCAAGAGCTGGGATTACAGGAGCACGCCACCACACCCAGTCTCAATCTCTGTCTCAGCATGCCCAGGGGCAGGGTCGGTGTGGCCTGGCCCGGCCGGCAGCACAGGCCCGGGGATTGAACCCCCGGCCCCTGAGCCTGCTTGCAGGTGCTTTAATCCACTGAACTATTTGGCTGGCCTTTATATCAATACGTCAAATCCCATTAAGAGACATTTAATTATTTGTTGAGTGGCTGAACACACACTTTAATACATTATAATTGATGCTTTTTCAGTTGTGAGTGTGATCATGTCTTTGGTTAGGCTGTAAAAGTAGCTTTTTCTGAGAAAATTATATTTGACATTTTCTCTTTTTAAACATATTTATCAGATTTTTCTTATTGATACATGGGATCTTTTAATATAGCAAAGGTATTATCTCATTTGCATATTTGTTGCAAATATTTTCCCTGATTTGTTTTAGAACATGATATTTTTGCTACATTAATGGAGTTTCAAATTTTATTCTGGGGAACACATGGTTAGAGGTACAAATCTGTAGGCATTATAAATAGGTTCATAGCTGTAGGATTATACCCAAGAACACTTAGACACCCTCTTTTAGGAATGTATTGCCAAAAATGAAGATTCTTGCTGCCAGTATAAATAGAGGGAGATACAGTGTGATACAAACTTATTCTCACGCTATTCAAAATTGGTGCTGGCTTATGTGAGGCAACCAAAACACGGATGTCTGAGAAGCAGGCTTTTGTGTTTTCCTGCCTCAGTTCCGTCAGGTCCTGTACACTGCAGTCCTGGTTACTGTTGATCAACTCTCCCAACCCCCAACTACCTCTCAATTCAGAGAACCCAAGGATAAGGGCAGCCCCTGCTGACACTGAGCTGTTTTCTGGTTGGTAACAGCAACTTGATCTTTCACACAGTGAGAAGGGTGGTGTGCCAACACTCTTTAAGTAAGGGCTTAGCAATGGCATGAATATTCGTTGCTCTTTAGAGATGTACTTGTGTCTTGGCTTAAATAAGCTTGTTAGGTGAAAATCCACATTAAACTCAAATAAATTAGAAGGTGATCATCCATTTTATAGGGGGATTTATCATGTCATGGCAGAATTTTCCTACGTAAAAGATGAGAGGAATGAAATTCAAATTGGAATAGAAAACTTTTAACTTTCAAGAATGTATGCAATGCTAAAACTACAGTGTTTATGTAAGAATTTATAATGGTGTAGATGCTCATTTGTAATTTTTCAGTTTTGGAAATGTTTCATCTATTGTACAAAAATTAGGAAAAACTGTTCTCTAATCCCAATATGTATAAGATGCCTATCAGAGTAAATGGCAATCCTATACTGTGTTTTACCCCTCCTCTGCTGCTAACCAGTTGACCAGTCCTTGTTTTGGGTGGTCTTTTGGACCTAAAGCCTCCATGGCTGAGTGGTAAAACTCCTGCACTTCACAGGTACCTTCCTTCAGCTATGCAGTTACTTAATTTCAAACTGAAAATTTAAATTATAAATGAATACTTATTCACACAGTTGCATAGTCAGTCATTTTGTTATTTTTTTCAATAGAGGCATATTTCTTGGTGTCACAGTCTAGTAATTATATAGCATAGTTTATGTTACACATAATAAGGATGGTCATTACTGATAATAATTATGAACAATGCACTTCTATGTGAGTGGCTCTAGCTGCTTGCTACTCACAGTCTATATTTTAATGACATGTTCACCTCTCATTATTGAGTCAGGAGGCCAAGTAGACACGAACGCCTCCGTATTTATTTCGACACTATTCATAACAGCCAACATATGGAATCAGCTGATGAGCACATCAAGAAAATGTGGAATATACACACGATGGAAAGGTATTAAGTCATTAAAATGATGAAATCTTCCATCTGTGATAACATGAATGGAAGTGGATAACTTTACATTAAGGAAAACAATCCAGGCCGAGAAAGACAAATACCCCTGGTTCCCCTGGCGTGGAGAATATGCAAACGTTGACCTGATAGAGGTGTGTGAACAGAGACACAGATGGTGGGGAGAGTGTGCAGGATGCTGAGACGAGGAACCGTTGTACTATGGGCACTCAGTTTACTCAGTGATGGCTGGACAGAGGCAGTAACTCTGGTCCTCTAGGGCAGTAGGATGACTACAGAAAATATACTGTGTATTTCAAAGACAATACACAGAAGGACTTGGTAATTTTCACCACAAAGAAATGATCAGTGTTTGAGGAGATAGATATGCTTACCATCATCAAAGCATTTCACATTGTGTACATGTAGCAAAATATCATATGGCACCCACAAATGTGTATGTCAGATTTGTACAGATAAGTGCTCATATTTCCTGAATTTTAACTCTTGCCTTTGTCACCTTTTCCTCTTAAACCATTCATAACTACTGCTCCCAAACACCACCTCTAGGAAATATAACCACTGAATTCTGAGGAGTTAATTTTACCCTGATTTTCCTCCCTTTTTTAGGCAATGAGTATTGAAGAAAGAGAGGTAGAGAATGGAGAAGAAAAGGAAGTTTCTAGAATGAGCTGGAGCAAATACATGTTTCAGAGCCATATACCAAGTGTGCATGTTTAGAAAGCTAGTCTGTAGAGTTGAGGTTTTGTTTAATATTTACTTATAATTCCATTGGTCTGAGTACACCACTGTGCTGTAAGTGTTGGGTTCATCCTACGATCGATACATGCACAGTGTGCTTTTAAGTGTTGCCAACCATCTGCACACAATGGTGGATGTATAGAGGTGGGAGACATTTACAAATGTAAAAACAAAACCCCTGGAAACTGGCTAAGATAAGAGCATAAAGAATTTGCCAGCGTTGGCACTGGATGCAGGACATGCCTGAACTGCCAACGGGGGCTTCCCCGCCATCCATCCGCACTCGTGTCTCCACTCGAGAACAGCGCCCACTCTGTCAGGTCTCCAAAACGCACCTTCGCATTCTGTTTTCGTCAGGAAGGTCCCCGCTCGCCACGGCTTCTGGTGGAACCCCGGGCAGCACCGATCGCAGCTCTCACCGCAGGTGTTGTGCTCGCACTCACAGCGCGATTTCTGGCCACAGAAAGGGGGCACACGTGGAGCACTGATTAGCATCGCGGAGGAAAAGGTGTCTCTTTGCAAGGTGGCACGACGTAAGGAGAAAATGTCTGCAGTGTGCACTGAAACGTAAAGCTGCTCTCTGGCTGGGTGGCAGATGGTGTCTGCCCTTGACTGGGTTTTTTGGATCGACCCCAGGTTTGGGTAGTCCAGGCTTGACCTGGATTCATTGGGCTTATGTTTACAAGAGGTCTAGAGGCTTACTGGGATGTGGTTTTGAAGACTGAATTCTCCTGCTCTGAATGCTGAGGTCTGCAGATTTGTGGGTCAGACGGGCCCCTTCTAAGGTGTCTCTCAAATGCTGTTAACATTTTTGAATGTGGCAAAAGGAGAGAGTTGATTCACCCAACTGTTGCTCTCAAGCACACCGGAAGAACAGACATCTAGTGTTGCTGGGATTAAGTCTCGTGTGTGCGTGTGTGTGTGTGTGTGTGTGTGTGTGTGTGTGTATGTGTGTGTGTGCGTGCTCTCTCTGAATATAGTCTCAATTTACCCCTTGCAACTGTGCTTCCAAGGTAGGTTGCCCCAGGGACAGTCCTAGCAGCTCCGGAACCACCGCCCAATAGCACCCCCGATGGCGAAGACTCACTATGCAGCAAGCTGCCTTACTGCCTCGCCAGAAAGATGTGCCAGGACTTGAAATCAGCCTAGGAGATAAAGTCCTATAATCCATTAACCAGAAGACTACCTTTGAGTGTAACAGATACGTGGTACAGTTGCAGCTGGGGCAAAGCAACAGCAGAAATACCGACCACGGTCTCAGCATCGTTCACTGATCTTCCTATTTAATAAATGCCTTCCATACACTGTGCGGCAGATAGCTTTGAATTTCATCAGTTTATTTGTGACAAGAAAAGCAGATGCTCATTCATCTTGTTCTTTAGATTATGCTCACTTTATATACTGTTCTGAATGAAAAATTCTATCAAAAGCATTCCAGCACTCCCCCCCATGCCCCCCACCACCGGCTGGCCACTCTCTGGAGCCCTCTCTTTCTTCCACTCTCCTTTTTGCCTCTACCTGACCTCAGCTTCCATCCCAGGGCCATTTATAGATTTACCTCCATATCTAATTTTCATTTGTTTGCATTAATTTTTTTGATTAAAATTTTTTAAAAAGAAAAGGACAGGTTGATGGATGGCAGGCATTCTTTAAAGCTAAATTGTGCAGCAGGGCTGTCAAACCACGAAGCTTCAAAATAGATACCAGTGTGGAACCTTTTAGGGAAAAAGAAATGCCTAATCTGTTTTCTGATATCACGATGGTTGACTTCAAAGTCTGTCATCTTAACTGCCAGCTATATGTCACCCTGACACGGCTACCTCTTACACCGCCTAAGTGAGGACCCAACATCCATTCACAGGGTTTCCTGTCAGCAGGGAAACATTTTCCAGTTCAGCACTTCATTTCTCCTAAGCATGCTATAAATATACATACGTTTGTGGCTGGGTCGAGCGGACAAGCCCTGGCATGACCATAGCAGATGCACATCCCTCCGACCGAAATATCCTTGACAGAGTAGTAATACTGCAAAAGGCAATCGAGAGAGAGAAACCCTGTTAGGGTGGCTGCGAGGTGAGAGTAGCCAAAGAGATGTTTAGTTACTGTTTTATTGTTTGCTTTTGTGCTTTACTGGAAGCACGTTTGTACTTCTTGAGGGCTGATGAAATGGATAAAGTAACTCCTAGCTTTCCAGGGATGGCCTAGGAGCAGGATGTGTGGAGGGACGGCCTAGGAGCAGGATGCGTGGAGTTCTCGTTAGGTGAGCACAGATGTCTTCCTGGCAGGTGATTCCAGGGCCATGCTAGAGTTCCCACTGCTAAGAGTAGTTTTTGGATTTTTTTAAATCTGAAGCTAAGGACAAGGGTTCTTCATAAAAGTCATCATGTATAGGTTCTTGAAAGAAAACCTCTGCAATTAGCAAGAGAGGGACCTCAATACTCACACAATTTATGCAAGCTATTCTACAGGATAGACTTGTTAAGACAATAGATTTATGGGAACTTGTGCTGCTACCAAGTTTTTATTCAAGCTTTGAATGTTTGGATGAAAATACTACGAGTTTAAAGTTCAGAATACCTGCTTTCTTACTATTATATTAAGACGCTCAATGACTTTCCTGTGTCAAGCTAATACAGGGATATGGCCCTAAAACTAATCTATCAGCTATTTTTAAACATTGTTGTTTTTAGACAACTGGATTAATATGAAAATTTTAATGAATATGTGTATAGGAATTAATCATTCTCAGAGCTTTTTGAATGACCATATGGTATCTAAACATCTCTCTTAATAGGGTATGGTTTTCTATTCTGATTATACACGTGAAAAACTCAGTGTTGAGAAATAATGAATCAGTGGAAAAGAATATCAGGACCTGGTCCCCTTTTCCACCTACTTCTTTGTCTCTCTTCTCCTTCTTTTTTCTCATCCCCTCCTCCTTCTATTTCTCCCCCTCTTTTGTATTTATCTATAGTATTTTTTACATGTTTTTCTTACATTATCTTGATGTACCTAGAATCTGAACCAGTGGATCCTGCTTGGAAATGTGAATAATGTAAAAATCTCCTTTTCGCTTAGTTTCATCATTTAGTAATACAGATACAAACCCATGTATGTACTCAAAATGCTGGCACGGTCAGATTGGAGGATGCCTCTAAAATTGGGAAATTGATTTTACATATAAATGTAAAATGCTTTGCTTTTGAATCAGGAAGAAGACCGGAAATTCAATATCCTATTTTTATATATTTAAATTTGTATGTAGTGTTTATTGATCTTGAGTACTTTCAAAAATCATATTTATATGTCAACTTGTACCATACTATTTTAAAGGCTCATGCACAATGAAGTTATAAATAATAGATGGGCAACCTCACTTTGCCTGCTGCAAAAGAC